GCGGGAAAAAATTTTGTATGGAATTGCATTCAAGTACCTTCTTTTTTTTCATCAGCCATTCGAGTACCTTTAATTCTTGACATTCTTCCATTTAGCTTTTTTCCTTTTTCCTTTTTCCTTTTTTTTTTCCACGAGTCTAGTAGAACAAGGCATGGGAAGAAGAAAAGGTACCTTGTTAAAGTTGGTAATTTGGATGTTGTAAGCTATGACATCCATGAAGATGTGCATATTCATTTTTAAATGACGATATTGAAAGGTATTTAGTATTGATTTGGAGCAATTTAACCATAAGTGCACATTTCATCTTAATTATATCTAGTGTTAACGGTTTACTCTTCTTTGTATTCATCTCTATTTATACTTATGTGTATTTATGAAGGTAAATCTTTAATGTATGAAATAATATATTCCTTAATCTTCTATATGTAAGGTGGATTTTGCCCTCTCTTTTTTTTAATAAAAAAAGTAAAAAAGTGCATTATAATAAATCGTTTTATAAATTTTACAATAGAAAGTGAGAACCCTATTAAAATCGGCTAACAAAACAAAGGAAACATTGGGAGGGGATTAAACAAAACAAAGGAAACATTGGGAGGGGATTAAACAAAACAAAGAAGATATTACCCTTGATCATATAATAATTTTATTAGTTAAAAAAAATGGAGAATATTGTTAAAATTGAAATAGAAGAATTATTCCAAATATTGACTAAAAGAGTCTTGTGCAGTTTTGATTGTATTAAACTATATAACTTAAACTATTAAATTAGGGGTGGGTATTCTCCATTTAATAATTCATATTTTGCTGTATAATACAATTTGAATTCCAAAACAAGGCACTTATTAAAATTCAAAACTTTCGTTAGTCCTATTTGCTGAGAAAAATTATTTCAGGACTTATTTTCCTATTATTATCCCACAGTAGACTGTCCATCTTTCTCTCTCTCTCTCTTATCTTTCTTTTTTTTCAAGCCTTAAACCCTGCAAAACCCTGGAACCTCTCAATTCTAAACAGTCGCTCCGTTCTGTCCATACCCAACGTTCCCGCTCCCGGTGCCGCCTTTGCCACCACCCACCACCACCAATTTTATTTCATCCTCAAAAAACTATCTTCTTCGTTTTCCCATATATAGAAACCCCATTCCCCAAACGAAACGCAAATAATTCCAGCCATAAAGAGAGAATTGCTGATTAAAACTAGACTTAGGAATCCTGAGTCAGCTTCCTCGAATCGCAAATGGATGTTGTGGGTGAGAAAGCTTTGGGGCCCTAGTTGCCCCAAAGCCACCGGCACTCTGGCTGGCGGCGGCAACACTTGTTACTGCAACAGCGTTTTCCAGGTTTCTCATTTTCTCTGTCGTTTTACATTGTTTTTACTTTCATTTGGGTCTAATTCCAAATATTCTAATGCATTTCCTTTCCGGTTATGTTTCTCTTTGTCCAATTGTGGCGTCCTTTATCTTCAATCCATTGATTATGGTTATTTTTATTGGGTTGGAAAATTAAGTTAGAATAGAAGAGTTATTGATATAATGCCAATGTAAATTCAGAATCAAATACAAAACTTTCTTTGCTAAATTGGTCATACATGATTTTGAATAATGACTGTATTTGCTTTTATATATATATTTTTCATGTTTGCGCTTTGTAGGTAATTACTGAGTTCAGCAGAAGGTTTTAGCAGGTTGTTAAGAGAGGGATTAGAGTCATTTATAGGCTAATTTTGCCAGAACTTGTTACAGATGTTGATGGAGTAATGCTATTAGTTTTTGGTTACCCTGGTTCCATCTGCAGTACATACTTTTATAGTGCATGCCATCTTCATGTCGTTTAATTATAGGACTGTCTATAGCCCAAATCAAAAAATTCATACCTTATAGGTGGAGAAAGGGTGCCAAAGCAGAAGATATTCGGTCAAATCAACCATTCAAATTGCAGAATTCTGAAAAAGCTGTCCTGGAACCATCTATTATAACTAATGATGAATTCATGATAAAAAACCTCCTTGCATCTCTCCAAGAATATGCTACCCAAGGCCAGTTATCGTCAGCATTCAAAGTCTTTTCTCTTATCAAGTTCCATACCTCTTATTCTGCTTCTGACAACCTTATCTTATATCCTATCTCTTCACTTCTTTTATCTTGTACAAACCTTAAATTGCTTCCGGCGGGCAAGCAGCTTCATGCCCAAATTATGTTTTTGGGTCTGGAACAATCTCCCATTCTGGTTCCTAAGCTTGTCTCCTTTTATTCAACATTTGATCTTCTTGATGATGCTCGAATTGTTACTGAGAATTCAAATATTTTGCACCCATTGTCTTGGAACCTGCTTATCTCATCCTATGTTAGAAATGGGCTTTTTGAGGAGTCCCTCTGTGCTTATAAGCACATGGTTAGCAAGGGGATTAGACCAGATAATTTCACTTACCCATCTGTTCTGAAGGCTTGTGGAGAGATATTGGATTTGGAGTTGGGGGAAACAGTTCATAAATCCATTAATGATAGCTGCAAAGAGTGGTGCTTGTATGTGCATAATGCATTAATTTCAATGTATGGGAAATTTGGAGAGGTAGATGTTGCACGAAGCTTGTTTGAGAAAATGCCAGAAAGGGACACTGTTTCTTGGAATACAATAATCAGTTGTTTTGCCTCAAGAAGCTTGTGGAAGGAGGCTTTTGAGTTCTTTGAAAAAATGCAGGTTGAAGTTTTTGAGTTGAGTATCATAACTTGCAATATCATAGCTGGAATGTGCTTGCGAACAGGCAATTTTAGTGGGACACTACAGTTGTTATCACAAATGAGAACTAGTGGCAGTGGTTTGGATTCAGTGACAATAATTTCTGGGCTGGGGGCCTGCTCACATGTTGGGGCCATTAAACTGGGAAAAGAAATTCATGGTTTTGTCATTCGCAATTGTTATGATGGATTTGATAGTGTTAGAAATGCTTTGATTACCATGTATTCCAGTTGTGAAGACCTGTGGCATGCCCATACTTTATTTCAGTCAATAGAAGAAAAAAGTATAATTACTTGGAACTCAATGCTTTCTGGTTATGCTCACATGGATCAACCTGAGGAAGCTTCCTTCCTATTTAGAGAGATGTTGCTTTCTGGAGTTGAACCAAATTATGTTACAATTGCCAGCATCCTGCCTCTTTGTGCCAGAGTGGCTAATCTGCAACATGGTAAGGAATTCCATTGCTACCTTACAAGGCGTGAAGTGTTTAAAAATTATTTGTTACCATGGAATGCACTTGTGGACATGTATGCAAGATCAGGAAAAATTCTAGCAGCTAAAAGAGTGTTTGATTTAATGGAAAGGAGGGATGGAGTGACTTATACCTCCTTGATTGCTGGGTATGGGATGCAGGGAAAAGGAGAAACTGCACTGAAACTGTTTAAGGAGATGATTGAGCTCCAAATAAAACCAGATGATATAACCATGGTAGCGGTTCTATCAGCATGCAGCCATTCTGGTTTAGTAGCTGAAGGTCAAATGTGGTTCCAAAAGATGCAAAGCATCCATGGTATAATTCCTACATTGGAGCACTTTGATTGCATGGTTGATCTCTATGGGAGGGCTGGTATGTTGAATAAAGCAATGGAAACTATTTCAAGAATGCCCTACAAACCAAGCCCTGCCACATGGGCCGCATTGATAGGAGCTTGTCGGATACATGGTAATACAGATGTAGGGGAATGGGCAGCTGAGAAACTGTTGGAGTTAAGGCCTGAAAATTCAGGTTACTATGTATTGATTGGTAATATGTATGCAGCAGCTGGTCGTTGGGAAAAGGTAGCAAAAGTTAGGACTTTCATGCAGGACTTAGGTGTCAGGAAAGCTCCCAGCTGCTCCCCTAGATTGATGTGGGCTCAAAATTTTCAAGCTCTAAACGTGGGAAAACAAAGGAGTTTTTTTTAACATGTGTCTTAATAATAGAGGATAATGATTTTTTTTTTTGGTTATAAATGTATCTAAAAAATATAAAATCTAGTATTAATTTTAGTATTTGCACAAAGTAAATGAATTTAATTAAATATTAATTAATTAAAGATTAATTTTATTTTTTAAATATTATTTTATAATAAAAATATATTTATTATTTTTAATTTGTGTTTTAAAAACACAAATTAAAAAACACTGATAGTATAAGGATAAATTTTTTATATTATTTTTTGATATAATTTTCACATATTATTAAATAAGTAAATGTATTTAATATTATGAGTCTCACATGAATAAAAATAAACAATTATTTAAATAACACATATAAAAAGTGATAAAAAATTTATCTTAAAATTTTTTTTTGGTTAAATCCTCAATTTAGTCTTTGAACTATTGTATCGACTATTGATTTGGTTCTAAACTAAAAAAACTTCTGATTTGGTTTTTAAAGTATTGTATGGACTCTCATTTGGTCCCTATTATTTTTTGTCGAGTTAAATAACATATACATCAATTACTTTTTATATGAAATGATCAATTTAAACTAAATTGATAAATAATAAAGATTAAATTAAGGTCTATATAATAATTGAGACTAAACCGAAGATTTAACTTTTTTTTTTTTGAAAAAGAAAAACCTAAATAAAAATAAAAAATTGGAGAAAAACCAAAAAGCTGGCAAAAGCAGAAGTAAGGGAAAAAGATGAATAAAGATTGTACGGAGGTGCGAAATTCAATGTTCAGTCAACCAACGGCCGCCGGTGGAGGGTGGAGGTGTGAACCAGTAAACAAAGTATGGAATGGGATGGTGGACCTGGCGGTGGTGCCGGAGACGCAAAAGTCACACGGTCTAGAAAACTGGACGGTAGTTCAGTTGTATCTAGCTTGATCCAGCTGTTTTAAAAGTAGTTGACGCAAACGTGGCTTGTCCCACTTAATTAAGAGGAGACAAGCGGTGCATTTTTCTCTTCAATCTTC